AACCGTACAGCTCCGCCAGGGATCTTCCATAGATTTCCAGAAAGCTGGGGAGTGCTGGTGAAATGCGTTTTCCAAATTAACGCTAGACTAAACACTACTAAAGATCTGCTTCTGCCTTGTTCTAGAGTCAACATATTCCTATGACCACTTGCCCTCACGCCTCAGCCACAGAACACGCGTGCTATTTGCACTGCATAACGAGCGAGCAATGCACGTGCCCGTCTGAAAAGGCTGGTTTTGGGGAACGCAGTTCCCACGATGCAGCTGTGTAGTTACAGTACAGAGCAAAGGGGAGATGCAGATCACACAAAAACACTCAACAAAAAGGGTTTGCAAAAGGTTTCTTGTAGAAGAGAGCTACTCGCCGGGCAGATTAATACAAACTCGATCGACTGCCTACAGCCGTGATGAACGAAGGAAGAAGGAAAGAAGGAGGAACTTAAAGGCACAGTTTGAGGAAGAAAATATCAGAGGTCAGCAGTGACCCAGGGCTGGAAGACGGTTTGGAAAGTATCGAAAAGAAATCACTACCGAGCAAATGCAGAGCAGAACCCCAGGTGTGTTCACAGGCAGGGCTGACTTGGCTCTGCTACACCAAGAATAAGACAGGGATGCTCCTCGGCCTGTAGTACCAAGTCACATTCCAGCAGCCAGAGAAGCTTCAGTCTGAAAGAACTAAGCATTAAATATAAATCCCAACTCGCTGCAGACTGGTCTCCTCCAGGTGTAATTTAAAAGCTCAGGCCTTGCTAAGATCGATTCATACGCATTTTTCTTTTACATCGTACAGTGGCAGGAGATGCGGTCTCTGTATTTATGCAGAGTTAGTAATGTAACGTGCTTGCGTGATGACGCTTGGCTGAAGTATCGTAACACAACAACCAAGCAGGAGAGTTAACACACCACACTCCGCCACAAGCTGCATGTGCCCCCAGCAGCGAGAGTAATTCATTTCCGAAGAACAAACAAACTTGACAGCAGACACTGAATGTGGGTCCTCGGGACTGCCAACCCTCCGTGTTCGAGGTCATTTTCAGGAAGTCAAGAGGTTGGCTTAGAAACGCCTACATTTTTAATGTGGTACAATTTCAGAGGTTCAGAAACGAAGGCCAGAAAGGATAATCAGATCAGCAGCTCCGACCTCCTCCATGCCACCGGCTACACGCTCTCAGCCGGGCACCCCCCCAGGGCCACGCCGTCCACTCGTTCCCAGCTGCAGCCCGAGCTGCTTTGCTAAACACACCCCGCAGGGAGGCACCCCCTCGAGGTTTTGTCTTGTTCTGACGTCAACTTTTCCAATTCCTGATTTCCGTAACTAGTTCGAATGGTTAATCACGCTCACTGTTATCAGTATACTTCTGTCGTTCAAAATTTCAATGGCTGTTGTGATAGTTTTATTTTCTTTGAGAGTTTGGGGGCTAGGAACGTACACCGAGAAGTGAAAGTGAAGATTCACACACCTGTACTTGACCCTAGAACCTGGGGCTTTAAAAAAAAACCTCTCAGCCTAAATATTGTGGCATTGGATGAAATCGTGAGAATTGATAATACTGTGTCATTTATTGTTCATCTTTTACAGCTTGTGAATGTCATTATCTTCCACGAGAAGGTCACTTTGTAAGGATACACGCATCCACATACAGCCTGTAAGTATGCTTCTATGAAACGCAACTGTAAGTAACTGGAGATGAAAGCTTAGTCAACACTCTGTAAGAAAAAACTGGTGTGTGCAGAGCTTCAGAAAAAACCAACCCAAACCCTTTAAAGTATCCAGAGAAAGGCAAATTCCAGTGGAAATGGAAGACCTTTTAACATGAACGTGCAGAAAGCATCTTTCATTGGAACTGGGCTGGCAGAGCTAGTGGCTGAAATAGCGAAACTGAACGAGAGTTAAAACATAGAAAATCTTCTAGGAAAAAGGAAATTTTGCATATGGGAGTCTCCTTTGCTGGGCAGGGGCACCCTTTGGTTAGCCCTTTCCTCGGAGCATGAACCTGACTGTTCCCGACGGAGTGCAGAGAATGAATTCAGGGTGCCGCTGCATGGTGAGTAAAGTGGGGACTGGATAGAAGTTCTTTTTAAAAAAAAGTATTTACAGGTCTTCAAATTCCGAAAACAGAAAATATAAAACTGCATTAGAACTGGGGTAAAAAAGAAAGAATCCTACCTTGAAAAACTGCAGATTCCCTCTGTCTGTCTGATGGGAAGCCTGGCTGTGTGCAAATGCAAGGAAATGAGCTTGCTGCTCCAAGTTTTTTACCTTGTTCAGAAAGACTGAAAGCTTTTTTTGCCAGAGCCCTACGGAAAGTAGGCACGGGATCCAGCAAGAGCCGATTTTCTTGCTAAGATATTTGCTATCGAGCTTGCATTCAGTTAAAGAACAGCTAGAGAAGAGGGGAATAAAACCAGCAGATGAGTTTTCTTACAGAATTCATTTCACTCCTGTTTCACTCCACGCATGTACTTGTAGCAGTCAGCCCAATATATACAGCTGCTGTCTAGCATAACCCACTGCTCATCTCTCTCACCCACAACATACATGCACTCACACTCCCCTCTTCTTCCTCCAAGGACTGCAGTGCTTTCAACAAGAGAAAATAATAATAATAATAATAATAATAATAATAAAAATAGCAATAATTAAAAAAATCTACAGTATTCACTTCCTTTTGGTATATTACATCGGCATTTTCTGTACATGACCCAAGAGCTCCCTCTATTTACACAGTGATATGGAAGGACTTGTTCTTGGGAGCCCGGTTCTCCTGGCCTTGAGTGGGGAATTAAAGCCCACCTTTCAGAGTTCTTTCTCTTTTCCATTTTATTAGCAGCATCATGTAAACCTGTAAGGGGAAGGGGGGCTTATTTTGAAGGTTTCTCGAGTCTGCTCCCTCTTGCCCTTCTCCTGGGGAGATGGTCGGCAGCATCTGCCCAGTTAGCAGCTGCTGTTTTTGAATTCACCATTCTCCGTGATGGAAAGCTTGGTGGGGTTGGTGGGGGAGATGCCATTGCGGACTTGCATGCTGTAGCGCTCCTTCACCTGCGTCAGGGCACTCATCAGCCGCGTGTTGGCGGAGTCCAGGGACACGATCCGCTTCTCCTGCAACAAACACCCCGCAAAGTCAGAGCTCCTTCTTACAAACAAAAATGCCTTTGCCCCACGAGCCTGCTTCACGGGGAACTTCCAGGACCCGGGGCTGTGACAGTGTCTTCAGGTGATTTCTAGGCAGAGGCAGCTTGGCCAACATTCTCTGGTAAGATGGGACGTCTGCCTCTTTCTGTTTTCTCGGGGTAACGCGGC